TAGCAGTTTTTGTATCTGATGATGGTGATTCTAACTTTGACTCAATTGTGGCACATGCGTTTGGGCTACATATGTGACAGAGCTTTGGCGAAACTTAGCAAACGCCAATTGATCAATGGCATGAAAAAGTGCAAGTTGGACTTCTGTGAGCACCGTGTTTATGATAAGCAATGTAAGGTGCAATTTTGCACGTCAGAACATACCACAAAAAGTATTCTTGACTATATTCATTACGATGTATGGAGCACAACATCGATTGTCTGAAAAGGTGGATCTCTATACTTTGTTTCCTTCATAAATGATTTCTCAAACAAGGTGTGGATTTACACATAGAAGAAAAAAGTAGATGTATTTAACACATGCAAGCATTGGAAAGCTATGATCGAAAGACAAACTGGATGAAGGTCAAATGTGTGAGGACTGATAATGGTGGAGAGTACAATTCAGTGGAGTTTGTTAATTTTTGCAAGAGCAAAGGAATTGTTTATCACTTTACTACTCTAAAGATGCCGCAACAAAAGTGAGTTGCTGAGCGCATGAACTTGATACTTCTAGAGCAGGCCCGCAGCATGTTGGGCAATGTTCAACGGACTTTTGAGTAGAGGCGATCAATACGGCGTGTTATCTCGTCAACATGTCATCGTCTACAACAATCGACTACAAAACACCATAAGAAATAGGGTTCGATAAACCTGTTGCTTATTCTCATTTAAAAATTTTTGGTTATCCTGCTTATATTCATGTGAAGGATGACAAATTGAATCCTACATCAAATAAGTGCATTTTCTTTAATTATGCGGATGTGGTTAAAGGCTATAAAATATGATGCCCAGATCCTAAGTCACCTAAGTTTGTTGTCAGTTGTGATGTTAAGTTTGATGAGTCTGCCATATTAAAGCACATTCAAAAGGTTATAGAAAAAGAAAATTGCAGCAATTGAAGTGGAGTAGATAACACTCTAAAAAATACTCCAAAATATGCGCCAGAAATTCCTGTGAGAAAGTGGAGGAAGATATTGACCATAAGGAGGTCATTGGGAGTACTCTACTTGAGGAAGAGCCTCAACTTGGAAAGGAAAAGAAAACAAAAAATGCCAGTGATGCGGTACGGTTTTGAGGACGTGGTGACTTATGCATTAGCGGCCACAAGCCAAGAGGCATCCACTTTTAAGGAAGATACGCAAGATAGTGACAATAGCAGGTGGAGTGATGCAATGGATGAAAAGATTGAGTCTCTTCAAAAGAATCGAACTTGGGATCTCGTGAAGTTACCTAAAGGCAAGAGAGCCATTGGATGTAAATGACAGTATAAGAAGAAAGATAGGTCACTTGAGACTGGTGTTGATCGGTTTAAAACACGTTTGGTTGTAAAAGGCTATGCACAAAAAAAAAGTATTGACTATAATGAGTTTTTCTCTCTAGTTATGAAACATATTTCTATTCGAGTTTTACTAGTCATAGTTGCATTGTCTAATTTGGATTTAGAGCAGTTTGACTTCAAGACTGCATTTCTTCATGGAGAGTTAGCAGAACATATTTATATGACTCAACCAGAAAGGTTTGTAGTTAAAAGAAAGGAGGACCATGTCTGCAAGCTAAAGAAGTTATTGTACGACATAAAGCAGTTTTTTTGACAGTTGATTGTATCTATTTTAAGATATTTATTGATGGTTTATTCATCTATTTATTGCTTTATGTAGATGATATGTTTATTGCTGCGTAGAATTCTTCAGAAATCAGTAAATTGAAGACTCAGCTTGACAGAGAATTTGAGATGAAAGATTTAGGTTCAGCAAAGAAAATTTTGGGTATGGAGATTCGCAGAGATTGAAAATTAGGTAAATTGTGGCTATCTCAGAAGGAGTACATTGAGAATGTCCTCGTTAGATTCGGGAAGAAAAATTCGAAGCCTGTGGGTACTCATCTTGCTGCATATTTCGGATTGTCGGCAGCATTATCTCCAAGTTCAAATGCTGAAAGGAATACATGTCACGTGTTCCCTATGTGAGTGTAGTTGGAAGCCTCATGTATACAATGGTTTGCACCCGTCCAAATATTTGTCATGTCGTTAATGTTGTTAGCAAACATATGACTAATCAAGGAAATGAGCATTGACATGTGGTAAAATGGATTCTACGTTACTTACGGGGTAAATCAGATGTGGGTTTGATGTTTGATAGAGATAACACATTTGATGACAAGGTTATTGGTTATGTTGATGCTGACTTTGTAAGTGATTTGGACTATAGGAGATATACTACAGGTTATACGTTTGCATTTGTACGATCAGTTGGAGGTCGATGCTACAAACTGTGATTGCTTTGTCTACGATTGAAGCAGAATACATAACAATTACTTAGAGGGTTTGTAAGCGATTTGGACTTACGACATGATGAGACTATTATTTATTATGATAGTCAGAGTGCAATACATTTGGCAAAGAACCAGACATATTATTCAAGGACGAAACATATTGATATCATGTACTATTTTATCCATAAGATAATAGCTGAAGGTAATATCATGCTACAGAAGATAGATAACAAAAATAATGTTGTAAATATGTTAACAAAGCCGGTTCCATTACAGAAGTTCAAATTATACTTGGACTTGACTAATGTATTGCCAATATAAGCACTAATGAGGGTGCGTATGGAGAAGACGGTCGATGGGATTTTCTTTTGGAATTCAAGCCAAAGTGGAGATTTGTTAATTTGACATGTATTCCAAGATAGATAAGTCACAGAAATATCTTTGAGGATTATTTTATAACACCTTCTATTGGGCTAAAATGCTTTGGCGAATTATTTGAAAAAGAGGCATCTAGAGAATCCTTTATTTAATTCAAAACATAGTTTATCCTTATCTAGATCCTATTTTAAAAGGGGAAAGTTTAAATAAGGTTGACATTTTATATTATAGAGTTAAGGTGCACCTCAAAAATTCATCCAGAAAACCATCTAATTGATCATCTTGACATCAAGATGGATGGAAACGAACAAGGTTTAAAAAAACAGATTGGTGAAACTGTCGGATCGGTGGATCGGCAATTCAGATTAGAGAATCGGCTGGATTGATCGGTTTGACCTCAAATAAAGTAAAAAAATCATCAAATTTTTCTAAAAATAGTTTTTTTTTTTAGTTTCAAACAAAAAATTGGGGGTGTTACAAACTTTCATTATTTACAAAAATACATAAATATTGAGACAGGTTTCTTACTTGGTTGGATCTCTATATAATTATTAATTATAGTATTATAATATCACATCAAAGTGATTCAAATAAATATTAAAACTCACCTCAATGTTATAAAATTAAAACATAATAGCCTTTGTAAAGGTAAACTAGTATTACATCAAATATTTAATTCTCTTTACTCATCCATAATTATCACAACCTAACTAACTATAATGTTATTTACTGGAATTAGAATTATTGGTTTATATTTTATAATTATTTTACTATACAAATAATAATAAATTTAAATTTTGTCTTAGAATATCTTCTAATTTAAAAAATCTTATTTATAACTATAGCAAAAAATAATACATTATATAACGTATGACATAAAATGATTATTAATTATAATATTATGCCAAAATAATTCAAGAAAATATAAAAAGGCACTTCCATATTATAATATTAAAAAAAATACTCTTTATAATGTGAAATTAGCACCACATAAAGTATTTATTAATTCTCTATACTCATCCAAAATTATCACTCCCCTATCTAACTATAGTATTATATACTGGAATTGGAATTATTGCTTTATATCTTAAAATTATTTTACTATACAAATAAGAATACATTATATAACTTATAATAAAAAAAATTAAAAAAATAGTAGAAAACACTCTCATATCATATGATTAAAAAAAAAAAAAATCCTTATAAATTTCAATGTTATGATTTTAAAAAAACTTCAAAAAATGATTTTTCCCTGAAAATAGGAAATAATGAAATCAAAAAAATATTCAAAAAATGATTTTTCCCTGAAAAATATAAAATAATGATATCAAAATTCAATTTTTTTTGAAAAATAACAAAATATTGAATCACACACCATATGTATCAAGAAACTATATACATCAAAAGCCATATTTTTTTAAAAAAATTATTAATTTCATGACACGATTTCTCAAAATCCCCAAAACCGGCCTGCATGATGGCCCAAAATCAATGTTCTTTTCGATTTCTATCCATTATATTGGATGTGTAATATAGAATACAGGTTCACTAGGGTCATTTTTAATCAAATTTCAACAAATATGATTCAATTTTGAGGAAAAATAGATTGGTATGGTGGAATGGAACCCTAAAATCCTGTTGGGAATTTGCGGAAGCATCGATATAATAATTTGATCGAAAATAGCAAAATGATAAGGGTGAAGAAGAAAAAAGATTTTTCTTTTCTAAAAAGTTTCACTATTTCATAAGCAAAAACATGGTTACAACAACATAGTGTGACTTGAGAGACCACGTAGCACTACTTTTTTCTTCACACCCTTCCTTTACATCTCAGCCCTATTTATAGAGCTTTTTTCCGCCCTTTTTGTGGTTAGGAAAAGCCTCGAGAGAGAGAGGCGGTGGTTCTAGAGAGTTTTCTAGAGAGAGAAGATGGAGATGGAGGTGGTGATTTAGAGAAGAATCTAGAGAAAGAGGGACGATTTAATATTTTAATTTTTTCTCTTAATTTGTCACTCCCATTTTTTTAAAAAATTTCATAAATTTATCTGTTGAAAGTGACTTTGTAAAAATGTCTGCAAGCTTATCATTTGTGTTGATCAATTTAAGCTGGTTCCCTCCTTTCTCGACTAAGTCTCTAATGAAATGGTGGCGAAGTTCTATATGCTTTGTCATGTTATGAAACAGTAGATTCTTCGTCAAAGTAATTGCTGACATGTTATCACAATAAATTGTTGTTGGATTTTTTTTCTCATAATATAGGTAATATAGAATTCTTTTCAACCAGACTGCTTCGCACGCAGTGCTAGTGGCTTATACATATTCCGCTTTTGCAGATGATAGAGCAACTGTTTTTTGCTTCCTTGAAGACCAAGAGATAACTTTAGATCCTAAGCAGAATATATATCCTGAAGTGCTTTTTCGATCATCTAACGATCCGGCCCAATCGCTATATGTGTAGCCAACTAGGCTGCTGTCTTTCTCTGTACTATACTTGAGACTAAAGCTCTTAGTTCCTTGAACATATCTTAATATTCTCTTAGCAACTACAAAATATAACTTGCTTGGTTTGCTCATGAATCTGGAGACAACAAGACTTCCATAAGAAGATGCATTTGCTTCTTGTGCTCCATCATTTGGTGACAATTTTTCATTTGGAGCCATGGGAGTAGCCACCGGTTTACATTTCGTTATACCAAACTTTTTCAAGAGGTCTTCTATAAATCTTTCTTGGGAAACAATAATTTCTCTATTTGATTGTTTTACTTGAATCCCAAGAAAATATCTCATAAGGCCCAAATCCGTCATTTCAAATTCCTTCATCTTACTTTTCTTAAATTCCTTCATCATCTTTTGGTTAGTACTAGTATAAATCAAATCATCAACATAAAGACGAGCTATTAGAAAATCATGCGTACCTTTGTTTTTTACGTAGAGTAACGGTTCACTAGGACTTCTCTCAAATCCTTCTAGGCAAAAGTATCTGGCAATTCTACTTTTCCACGCTCATGATGCTTGCTTCAACCTGTATAAGGGCTTTTTAAGTCGGTATACTTTATTTTATTTTCCTTTTATCACATATCCTTGAGGTTGTTCAACATATACTTCTTTTTCAAATTCTCCATTTAAAAATATTGATTTTACATCCAACTAAAATACTAACAACCTCATTTGTGCAGCTAATGTCAAGACAGTTCTAATGGTTTCCATTCATGCAACTGGGGCAAAAGTTTAAGTATAATCAATACCTGGTTGTTGAGCATAGCCTTTTGCCACCAGTCGAGCCTTGTGTTTTTGAATTGAGCCATCTTCATTATATTTTGTCTTGTAGACCCATTTTGTAGAAAAAGAAATGCGAAGTAAAAATTAAATTTAATTGATTTATATGAGAATTAAATCTCTTTAGATCATAAACCCCACTGCAATTGGATCAAAATCGACTCAAATCCACACCATCATCTACAATTTTGCTTGATCGTTAAAATTTCAAGAACTGTTTAGTTTCTTGCATTTGGAAGCAAAATCGACGGGGAATCCTAGTTTAATCGAACAAATTCAAACTAGAATACACTATAGGATTCAATTATTTTCAAATAGAAACAAATTTCATAAAATTTGGTTGAATCGAAGCTAAAATCTCAAGGAAGGCGGATTTACACAAAATCTTCAAAAAACCCATTTTTTTAATCCTCAAATCTCATATTGTTACACATAATCAATTGAAGATAGGTTTTATGACCCATTTTCATGCATTTCATAGCAATAATTCTCCACAAAAGTGTCGCGAGTGGATAAAAAACCAACCAAACAATGAAAACACGTGAACAAAGTGCATTTTTTGAGCTTGAAAAGTGGAATGTTTGGGTAGGACGATTCCCAATCCAGATTGACAATTTTTTAAACTTTGGATATAGAAAAAAAAGAACAATTTGAAGTCTCAAAAATAGTACATTTTGTAATATATCTTTAAACTATTTCCACGCATTTATAGATCTGCTTGATTTGAACTATTTTTAGTATCTAAAATTTTATAATTAAAGATGAAAATAGATTATCGGGCCATCCTAAGAATTATTGACACCAAAATTATATCTTGTAACAAAGTTTAAAGGTGTGCCCGATTTTGATTGTTTAAGGTTGTAACCTTAATAAACCACACCCTTTATAAAAACTACAACTCCAAAGAACTCTATGACTTCATTTTTGTGGAAATATAGGGAAGTCTTAGAACTATGAAAACACATGTTGCTCATGATATTCAACAATCTATATTGATATATGAATCTTCTGATATACTTGATTAACATTTATATTGAATTAGCAAGTGACATCTGAAAACACTTAAACTTTCTTACCATAGGTCACTGTGCTTCAATGAGAGCAGTCTTAGTGCACCATGCTTCCCTTATTTTTTCAACATTATGTAAGTGTCGAAGTTGGATTCGAGAGTAGACCGTTTGTTATTTAAATTTCTTTTGCAAAGTCCTAAAGTTAACATTCATTATCATCACCATCATAATCTTTTTTCAGTTAATTGGGGTCAGCTACACTCTTAAAGTTAACATTTTTTTAATTTATCTCATATCACTTTCTAGTAGTGTCCATCATATATAGGACCCAGTTTCTATTGCATATGTAGAAATGCAGGGCCTATTAATAAATCTATTTTTAAGATGGATTTTTGGACTTAACTTTTAAGGACATGTACTCTCTAACATGGGGATCATGAATATGAAAAAATAACTAGATTTTAAAAACTTGAAATAATATTTCTAAGAAGAAAATATTTGGACCGTTAGTTTTCATTGTTTTTAGATGGAACACCTACTTACATCCATCTTTAAGATGGATGCTTTACACTTTTTGGTCTGCGTATGTAGTCATGCGGTCCAGCCCGAGTATTGAGGTTATTTTTACCTTTTTCCCTGCATTTCTTTGATAATATATATATATATATATATATATATATTAGGTCAAAACTAAATTTGGTGTTATCCTTTTTTAATTCATTTTGTAGGTATTATGTTGGGTTTATGTGACCTTTAAAGACCTTATGAGTGCTTATAAAATGAAATGACATAGTAAAACATGAACTCAGTGGGAGTGTGGTCCCTCGTGGACTATACTAAGCAAACGATGTTTGCAGATACCGGACTGTGCTTGACGATCTAGGCCAGTCGGTTGGAAAAAACCCATGTTATCTAGGCATAAAGAACAAACTGAGAAAGGAAAAGTTCTAATGGGTTAGCCCTAGATGAGGTCGAATAATATGCTCGGATGAATGAGTCGAGGGACTGTGTGACTCTTGTGTGTGATGGTGACCTACAAAGACGAGGGCCAAAGCATTATCCATACGCCATCACACGACATGCATATCGATAGATCGTTCGGGAAAGTAAAAAATCCACCTTTTAGGGTGAAATGTATACATGTGCGAGAGATACCCTTATGAGCCATAGAGCTGTGGTCGCCTAAGGTCTTGGTGACCTTGACTTGTCTCTAGGAGAGGACTTGAAATCCACAGACTGGGATTGCGATTGCTTAGCTCATCAGTCGGACTTTAGTGACCCGCTAATGAGCCCTTGCTTGGACTGTGGGTCATGAGAAACATTTGGTCAGATTGATGAAGCAAGTATGGTATGTAGTCTACAGTTGAAGGTGGAGTACCCCATGTTGTTGATTCCTAAACTATATGGCTCTTTTTCCTATCATATTAATTTAATTGTATTCATTTTATTATTGAAATGATTTTAGTTTTATTATTTGAATTTTTATGAATCTCTTAATATTTTATTTGTGATATTTGGACTTATAAAAATACAATTATTGTTCTTACAAAGTTATGAAAATTTAAATATATATTTTATTGTAAATTGTTTTATTCAATTTTAAAAATATTTTTTTTTTATTCCATGGAGGCCTATAGTGCACATGGGCCCACCATGTGGGATATGGGTGGGGGCCCACATGTGCCACAAAAGGGTGGCACACCCCACCCTCTTTGGATTCTCTTGTTTGCTTTTAAGATAAGATTAGTTTGATTTGTGGCATGTGGTCAAATATTGGAAGGGATATATTGACCATGGCTTCATCTATTTTGTAACAAATTTGTTTTAAAGAGATATGGTCAATTTGTATTAATATGGATCTTATCTTATTTATATTTTGTAGTATTTATCTACTTGATATTATTTGACATATCCTTATAGAATATGTGACATGGATCGTGCAATTTTATAGAATGCATGATATTTATTTTATTTAAATATATTAATAGGAATATGGTTTAGGAAAGGGGGATAATGGTTCATCCACATTCAATAATGTTGATGACCCATCTATGGAATGTATGGCATAGATCTCTCACCCCACAAGTCACCCTTGATCAACGGTCTACGTTCAATCTCACAAGGAGAGACAAGGAAAACCCTAATAAACACTAATCTTATTTAAAGCCTATAAAAATGAATTGTCTCTACCCAAAAAATCTCTATACTTTATCTCTTGTACCTAATTCTCATCTTTCTCTCTCGTATCCCACAAAGGGGGCACGCACCACTCTTTCATCTTTTATCTCTCTTTCTCACATTGTGAAAGAACTTAAAGGTTTAGGTTATGGAGTTCTTCTCTCCGATATCTCAAATATGAATTTACGGCCAAGGGTTTTAGGATTTAACAAAAATAGAAAATCCATCTCTCTCAAACTCGGTTGCTAAGAAAATTCATTTAGGGTTTGAGTTGGTGATCAACAGGGTTCATGTTCCATTGGTGTGGCTTGACCGAAATTTGCTTTCCAGGTTTGAGATTGAAGCTAGACCATTGATCCCGCGCCATCAGATGGTGGTGACTCGATGTGGGTGTAATAAGCCCGGTTGAGATAATCTCCGGCACTATTCTTTTGTTTATTGTAATCTTATTGTTTATTCTCAAGCATAGTCTCAAGCATAGTGCATAGTTATTTTAATGACATCAAGTTGTTAAGATCTTGATTTTATTGTTATGTTGATTTTATTTTGAAATTTATCTTCTTATAATAAAGAACACCTATAAGTGATCTTTTGCCAAAAAAAAGAGATGAAAAAAAAAAAATATATTCCTCGATAAAAGATCACATAGTTTCTTCTTTTATTCCAATAGTACACAGATATATAAATCGTGTTAAGCATATGGCTTTACTTACCAGTGCTCTTTATTTCCCTATTGTTTGGCTTCTTGGCAATGTGAATCCTGTAGAAGAGATCTTGACCATTGATGTAAAGCCTCGTTGAAAGAAGATATCACCTTCGTTTGTTTTCACTTTTTTTTATGTTATTATGGATGTCGCAGCTATTGTTGGGTCATGGGTTTTTAAAGCTGACCTCGGCCAAGGCACTCGGTTCTGGGCCGAGACAAGTAACTCAGACCTGGGCCAAGGCAAGTTACTCGATTGAGTCCGAGCAGATACGGGCAAGTTATGTAGACTCCCCCAAAAGGATAATCATAAAAGGTAAAAAAGAATATGGAAGTTTTTAAATCATATTAAAACCCATCAAAATCATCTAAAATATTTATAAATAATAAATATTTTTCATATCTTTTATATTTTTAATATTTTGAATTTTTTTAGTCATTTAGCTATTGTTTTTGGTGCCTAGCGAGTTGGGAAGGCCAACTCACACACACGCCTCCCTAATAGGGTTAGGGTGAGGCTGAGTTGCGTCTAAAACACTGTTTTAAGTCATTTATCCAAGGACACACGCCTCCCTAATAGGGTTAGGGTGAGGATGAGTTGCGTCTAAAACACTGTTTTAAGTCATTTATCCAAGGAC